CACATATTCAAATATTCTGAATACAAAGTCGCCTTTGGTAAGAAGCGTTTTACCCCAATGTGAGACCTCCCGATGTAATGAATTAGGTATCCATTTTTGCAAAATTTCCTGTAAAGGAGTTAGGTACACATTTCTACCTGCGGATCGGTATTCTCCCACTGTTATCCTATTTGTGTTTTGAACTACTTTGTATTGCGTGATTGTGTTAGTTCGTATCTAGAACATATAATTTGTTAGATGTTTCCGTCAATATGAAAGGCAGCTTAAGATTCGGTCTTGTTTACGATCTAGTTATTGTGAGAGTAGTATTATTGACTATTGGCCTTGTATATATTGTAGGTTTTGTTGTTGGACTTATACCTCATATCAGAAATTCAGTTATAGGTGATGCAGCTCCTCTTCATGTGATCCAAGATACAATTTTGTTACTTGGGTATTAGACTTTCTAACTTGTTTAAATGAGTCGAAGCAATAACAAGAATATTTCTAGTAGAACATCTTTCACAATATACCAGGATATAAGACCTACTCACTAAGTTGATCAACAAGTCTATGCTAAAAAGAATTAAGGAATCATCTAAAAGGTATGACCCTTTCTACCCACGTTGACCACATGATTTATGGGGGCTGTGAGTTATTTGAACTCTCCCCCATATCGGTGCTCAATCCTAGTCCCAAAATATACTAGCTCATATGTTTAAAAACATAACTCTGTTCTGGTTTGAGATAATTACTCAAAAAAATTTCTCTTAAAATAGATGGTACTCAAACTGCTCAAAAACTCTTTTGGAAATCTCAATTTCCTCTCATCTTAAATGTGAAAACATTTACTCTTGGGAATAATTAGTTCCCATATCTCATTTTAAAAGAAATGAACTCAACTCTGCTCTTTCTAAAAAACATTTCAAAATCATATTATAATATAATCATTGATGACTTGGGAAGTCATACTGCATAATCATTGATGGTATATCTAGATACCATACTGCTCATACATTGATGGCATACTCGATTGTCATACTAATCATGTTTTAGAAAACTCTTTTTCTCAAAACTCATCTTTGCTTTCTCAAAACTCAGTTTAATAACTCAATAATTAGGAATATAATTTTTAAAAGAATCATGAACTCAAGAACTCAAATCAACTTATCTCAAGAAAAATCAAATCTAGGGGTAGAATTCTAGATTTCTCTTTTACTGATTTGAAAGAAGATGTAGGGCATGAGAACAAACTAGTCCAACACTATGATAGACTTACACACTTGAAAAAAACAAGGTTCTTGAATAAACTTAAGGAATCGTGAAGAATATTGAAGAAGAACTTGATTAAAAGCCTTGAAACCCTAGCTTGAAGGTAAACAATCAAGAAAACCTTTCTTGAGATTCTTGAATTAGTGTCTTGAAATCTCTATGGACAAGATTTATTATTTTCACTAGTGATTCAAAATTGTACGGAGGAACTTGAGTTAGAAAGAATGGTATTCATGGAGAGAAGCTTACCTTGAAGAAGAATCTTGAAAAAGATTGAAATAATCATGAATGTTGTTTTCTACTTTGATTTTTCCTTAGGGTTTTACCCTAATGTTTGATATTGAAGAGAATGATGGATTAAAATATGAAAATTTGATTGTTTTGGGCCTTTTATTAGTCAAGAAATTCGTTTAAGGTTTTATTGGAGGTAAAAAAACAAAAATGACTCTTTTTAATGTTTTCCCGTCGGCTAATTCGTAACAGCACAGTATAGGTTACTAAAATAGTCATTACTTTTTACTTAGAAATTGGATTGACGCAAAATTGGCGACGTTGGAAAGTAGATTAAAATACCTTTAGTTGGATAGGTTATGCCTCACGTAACTCTTTATATTCTAAGAGATATGGTCCTTAAATTTTAAGAATGAAATTACGTTGAATAAATCAAGATTGACGTGTGGGTGAACGAACCCTAAACTATGGAAGCTTACATACCTCAAAGAACTAGGTCCATGGTGAAATATTGAATTTCTTGCACGAACGCTTGAAACTTTGAACTTTTTTTCCTCTCGAATCTTCTCTCTAAAACCTTAAACGCTTTTGGGGATGAATGAAACAAATTTTAATCAGTTTAGACTCCTAAAATCTTACTAAAAACGCTTAAATAGGATTGGGTAAGGAAAAAACCAAAATACCCCTTACTATTTTCGGGTAACTTTCCTTAACTGGACAGCCTGACTTCATAGGGGCCTATCTCACTCAATCAACCTCAAAAGTTAGCAAACTTGGTGGAGTTGAAAAGATAATTCAAAGAACTTTATCTTGTAGCTCACATAACTCATCATGTACTGAGAGTTATGGTCGTTTGAAGTTGACCCAAAACTCATAACTTAAGCATAACTTGCAAAATTTTAGATTTTGCTATTTCCAATTTAGTTCTTTTCCGAACTCAAGGTGCTACATCTAGTGACCTTAACGCTCAAGAAATTTTTAATTCCTTGGTAAAATCCTATTCACAATGAAGGATGGTTCGAGTCTAAGCTCAAAATTTTTCTGGGATGTTACAATAATAGCGCAAGACGTTTTCAGTTAGAGTATGAAATTGCTACTTACTCTCAAGGAGGTCTTTCTGTTCAGGATTACTTTTCTGGATTTCAGAACTTATGGGCTGAATTTACAATATTGTCTATGCCAAAATACCTACTGAATCTCTATCAGTGATTCAGGCAGTTCATGAGCAAAGCAAGCGAAACCAATTTTTGATGAAATTACACTCCGACTTTGAGAGTGTTCGCTCTAACTTGGTGAATCGTGACCCGTCTCCCTCTTTGGATGTTTGCTTTAGGAAATTACTTCGTGAAGAGCAATGTCTTGTCACACAAAATGCTTTAAAGAAAGAAAATGATGTCACTGTTGCATTTGTTGCTCAAGGTAAAGGAAAAGGGCATAGATATGAGTAGAACTCAATGCTACAGTTGCAAGGAATATGGTCATATTGCTAGCAAGTACCGCAAGAAGTTTTGTAATTATCGTAAACAACAAGGATACAATATCAAAGAGTGTCCCACGCGCCCTCATAATCGTAGGATCAATGCTTTTCAAGCTGGGATAAATGGTTCCACTGATGATAACTGATCTTCAGGACAATTTTTTACTCCTGAAATGGTACAACTAATGATTGTGTCAGCCTTTTCAGCATTGGGATTCCAGTCATATGACCAACTCAACGAGCATCCTAAAAAATGTTCGTAAGTATCAAGGTCCATCACAAATACAAATTGCCAATGGTAGTAATTTATCCATTACCAAGGTTCGGGACATTACTCCAACTTTCGAGAATGTTTTTGTTTCACCAAAGCTCTCAACTAGTCTTATTTCAGTTGGACATTTGGTAGATAACAACTGTGATGTGAATTTTTCTTGTAATGGTTGTCTTGTGCAGGATCAAGTGTTGGGGACGATAATCGCGAAGGGGCCTAAAGTTGGACAATTGTTTCCTATACATTTTTCCATTCCTCCTGTTCTATCTTTTGCTTGTACTTCTACTACTAGTAAAACTGAGGTTTGGCATAAGCGTCTAGGACATCCAAATTCTTTTGTGTTGTCTCATTTATTAAATTCTTGTTTATTGGGAAATAAAAATCAATTTTCAATTGCTTCCATTGATTTTTCTACTTGTAAATTAGGCAAAAGTAAAACTCTTCCTTTTCCTAATTTTGGTAGTTGTTCTACAAAGTGTTTTGATGTCATTCATAGTGATGTTTGGGGCATTTCACCAATTATTTCTCATGTTCATTTCAAATATTTTGTGACATTCATAGATGATTATATATAGTCGGTTACATGGGTTTATTTTCTTCGATACAAATCTGAGGTATTTTTCATGTTCAAGACATTTTTGGCTTACATTGAGACTCAATTTTCTACATGCATCAAAATATTAAGATCTGATTCGGGTGGAGAATATGTCTTATGAATTCAAAAAATTCTTGCTTGACAAAGGAATTGTCTCACAACACTCTTGCCCATATAAACCACAACAAAATGGAGTTGCTAAACCAAAAAATTGCCAACTTTTATATGTCACTCGTACTTTATTGATTGAGTCCTATCTACCATCTAAATATTGGGTGGAAGCTTTGTCTACTGCTGTCTATTTAATTAATAGATTGCCATATAAAGTGCTAAATCTTGAGTCTCCATATTTTAGTCTTTATCACCAAAATCCTAACTATAGTGATTTTCATACATTTGGTTGTGTTTGTTTTGTGCATTTGCCTCCTTTGCAGCTTAATAAACTTTTTGTACAGTCTACTAAATGTGATTTTATCGGTTATAGTGCTTCACAAAAAGGTTTCATTTTCTATAATCCATGTTCTCACAAATTTTGTATTTCTAGTAACGTTGTTTTCTTTGAGAATCGGTATTTCTTTCCTACGATTGTAGATTCATGTTCTTCTTCTCCTTTTCTTCCTACTTTTGAGGACTTATCATCTTCTTTTAAGAGGTTCAAACTTGGATTTGTGTATGAACGACGTCAGCCAACTTTACCCTATCCCGACCCTGATCCGCCGCCTGAAACTGTACCACAACTAGAATATGAGAATTCTTCAAGATCTGGTCCTCTTGAGGCTACTCGGCGATCTACAAGAGTATCTCGTACTCCCAATTGGTATGGCTTTTCCTTTACTTTATCCAACATATATGTTCCATCTTGTTACTCACAAGCTTCCAAGCATGAATGTTGGCAGAAAGCAATGCAGGAAGAACTTTTGGCTCTTAAAGAAAATGACACATGGGACATTGTTTCATGTCCTTCAAATGTCCGCCCTATTAGATGTAAATGGGTTTATTCAATCAAACTTCATTCTGATGGAACTCTTGATCGGTACAAAGCTCGATTGGTTGTTCTTGGTAATAGACAAAAGTATGGAGTGGACTACGAGGAGACTTTTGCACCCTTAGCCAAAATGACTACGGTATGAACTATTATTGCCATTGCTGCTTCACAAAACTGGTCTCTTTATCAAATGGATATCAAAAATGCTTTTCTCCGTGGTCATCTTAAAGAAGATATTTATATGAAACCTCCACCTGGTTTGTTCTCATCGCCTACATCAGATGTATGCAAGTCGAAGCGGTCTTTGTATGGATTAAAACAAGCTCCAAGAGCTTGGTTTGATAAGTTCCGGTCTACTTTGCTACAATTTTCTTTTGAGCAGAGAAAATATGACTCATATTTGTTTCTTCGGAAAACATCTACAGGTTGTGTTCTTCTTTTGGTGTATGTAGATGACATTATTATCATAGGAGTTGATTCTTCACTAATCACTAGCCTCCAACAGCAACTTAAAGATTCTTTTCATATGAAAGATCTTGGTACTCTTACTTGTTTTTTGGGTTTGGAAGTTCATAATGTTGCTTCAGGTGTGTTTCTAAACAAAAACAAATATACTTAGGATCTGATTTCTTTGGTTGGTCTTCAAGTTTCCTCCTCCGTAGATACTCCACCGAAATTGAATGTCAAGTATCGTCGTGAGGAAGGCGATTTTCTTCCTGATCCAACTATGTTTCGACAATTAGTTAGGAGTCTAAATTACCTTACTATTACTTGGCCTGATATCTCTTTTGCAGTTCAACAAGTTAGTCAATTTATGCAAGCTCCCCATAATCTCCCCTTGGTGGCTATTCGTCGTATCATTCGGTACCTTCTAGGAACATTTACTCGTGGATTGTTCTTTCCAAGTGGTTCTTCTATTCGTCTTAATGCTTTTAGTGATTCTGATTGTGCGGGATGTCCTAATACTCGTCGTTCAGTCTCTGGTTGGTGCATGCTTCTTGGAGAGTCATTGATATCTTGGAAGAGTAAAAATCAAGATCGTGTGTCAAAATCTTCAACAGAGGCTGAATATTGATCCCTGTCTATTGCTTGCTCCGAGGTTGCATGTCTTCATGGATTACTTGCTGAGATTTGATTTCCTCAATCTCATCCTACTCCTCTCCACACTGACAATACAAGTGTTATTCAGATTGCTACTAATCCAGTTTTTCATGAGAAGACCAAACACATCAAAGTGCATTGTCATTATATACGAGAAGTTGTAGATAAAGGAGTCATTACTCTTCCACATGTGTCCAGTGATCTTCAAATAGCTGATGCGTTTAAAAAATCCATGGCTCGGCAACACCATCAGTTTCTAGTAGGCAAATTGATGCTTCTTGATCCACCAGCATCAATCGGAGGGGGGATGTTAGCATGATGGACAACTAAATGATTGTATATATTAATGTAATTATATAGTGATATAAATTAGCATGATCATATACATTTGTTGTAGAATCAAAGGAATAAATATTATGATAGAATAGCTTATTTGGAGGGATAGCAAGGTAGATTTAGAGGGATTCAGTAGCAGATTTGTAAAGATTGAATAGTTGTTCTTTAAGGATAGGAATGGAGGATCTTTAGGGATGTGTAATCTTTATTTTCTTTATATAATGGAAAGGCTCTCTCACTTTGAGAGGAATTCCCTGAAAATTGACACATTTCAAATCCTTGTTTTCACTTTTTTCACTGCAAATCACTCACAAAAACTCAAAAACAACTCCAATTTATATTCACAACCAAACACAACTCCGATTTTCAATTGAAAATTGGAGTTGTGTTTGGTTGTGAATATAAATTGGAGTTGTGTTTGAGTTTTTGCGAGTGATTTGGAGTGAAAAAAGATTTTTCTTTTCAAATTATCTCAATTTTCATGGCCAAACTCCCTTATACATAAAATCTATTAGCAAAAGCATGCATTCCTCCACACAAACACTCACAAAAAAACCCTAACCCTAGTTTCATCAAAACAAAATTCAGGATACAAAAAGAAAAAGAAAAAAAATCCTATTTTGCATCCCTGTTTGTTAACTCTAAACAAAATGAAAACTAAAAAAAGGTCCTCCTGCCGACCAATTCACCGGAAAAAACATCAAAACTTCATCCACATCTCAAATGTGTTTGGTTTTTTCATTTTTTTTTCAAAAATAGAGCAAGGTTCAATAGATCAACAAGTAATGCCGGTGAGTAAAAAAACTTATAGGAATCCATCAAATTCAGCAACAGGTAGGAATGTGCAATCGAAATCCGAGGTTGATGAAGCAAGTAGCTTAACAAAGAAGGAAACAATCGTGAGCTGAACCCTCCAATGGCGGCTTTTGCTTCTTCAAATATTTTTGGCACTGAGTAACTGAAGTGTGTGAGTAGGATATGAGTTAATTCATTTGTCTTTATGTGAGACTTTTTGAGTAAAGGACTAAAATGGCACTTAATTTAAGAGTAATGTTTTATTTTGGTCTTATATTTTAGGAATAGTTTCAATTATATATAATAAATTAGTAATTAGTTTACGATAAATATAGCTATATAATTTAAAATTACTATTCAACATATACGTTGATTATATATATTCTATAGTTTTCTAAAAGTCATATAAAGTATATACTGACTATACAATGAACTTATATATAAGCTATACACTGACTATATATTACGGTATACTCTAAAAATTAAATATAGTTTAACTATATATGAAGTATAAATTGACTATACATGAAGTATACATTGACTATTCAATATCGATCAACTCGAATTCACCTCTAAATAATCTCAAAATTTAGAAATGAAAGCCTCTCGATGTTTCGAGACTTTTGATATATAATTAACTCGAGATGATGGACCTTTGCAGTACGTCAAATTTTAAAGAAAAGAAAAAATAGCTAAAAAGACGCATGAAAGGAAGAAAAAGGAGGAGGAGGAAAGAAAGAAGGAAAAGAAGTTATTAATGGAGAAACTGGAAGGAAGAAGAAGAACAAGAGAAGAAGGTATAGCCAATTTTAGTAATTTTGAAATTTTTCTGCGCAAAGGGCACATGAACATGAAGAGACCCATGAAGGGTGACAACAACGTTGGTCCAAAGATGATCAATTCTAGCAGGTAAGGTGACCACCTAAAAAAAAAATTATGTCCGCTTGCACGCCTTAAAGTAGACCTACTACTACTTTATCCATCGTAATAGTAAAGTCAACTTTTTTTTTATAACTATTAACTGTGTTGTTAAGGCCAGCTAATAAGCACCTCAATTACTTTCACATGATACTTGCTATCTCTTGCCTATACAAGTATTGTGTAACTCTGTCTATCAAGGCTCAGACATAGTAGTGTATTTGCCAGTAAAGTTAACTTAGAAATAGTTGAGTGACATTGACTTTCGCGTTACAAAACAAAGTTGAGTGACGACTTTCTGTTTCTTAGATAAAAACTATTAGTTGAGTGAACATATGAGAAATTAACTCGATTTTGTTGATATAGAGGATAAAGTTTTGCATTAATGTAACTTGATTTAGGTGTGTGAGTTTCCTAACCTGAAATATCAACATCATTCAGGTAGTAGAAGGGAACAATTGATAGTTGTGATAAATAATTGGTGATGAACTTAGGGAACTCACACAAATGATAGTTAAGGTATGAAACTCAAAAAACTGCAATACTTTAGATGTGTTGTTGACCTTCAATCTTTTCTTTTTTGTGTGTTTTATTTATTCAGTTATCGTGAACTGTTGTCAATTTTCAATCTGCTAGATCGATAATCAGAGTACATTTGAGAATTTCTTCTTTTGTTTACCTCATTTGGTTCTGAAATTTGAATATTTGGATAGTGAGCAAGTTAAAGGGGAATGTGTAACCAAGAGAAGAGAGCTCCTGCTACAGGCAGGCTCTGTTGCACTTTCTCTGTCCGCCTTTAGATCGATTGCATTGGCAGAGAACGGTACACTTTGATCAATTTTTTCACTTTGAAATGCTCAGTATCCTTCAAAATGTCTACTTGCTTAAAAGGATGATGTTATTACAGATGTCCCGGAGAATTTTCGTGTTTATTCAGATGATGTCAACAAGTTTAAGATCATGATACCTAGTGGTATGGTTTTCATTCCATTTTTTTCTTCTTGAATAGAAGTATTTTAGGTGCTCTTCATCGATAAATCCATGTGCTGAAGAGAGTGTCTACGGATTATTATGAGTTACAGTAGCTTAATTCTGTAAGTAAATTGAGAGTTGGTATGTAAAATATAGTAACAAAAATTGGATCTTTTTCTTCTTTTTTTTGGATAACCGTAGTGACTCTAGGCCACTTGCGGGAACCTTGACTAATTCTGGGGTGTCTGCTACCTTCCATCAGTACAGTTATCGAGTAACTCTATCCACCAAGGCTTGGACAGAAAGGAAAAATCACCTTTGTTGAACAAATATAGGATCTTTTTGTCTTAGATATTGACGTAAAACTTTTACATTCATAGTTCTTGAGAAGAGATGATCCTTGTCAAGGAATAAAGAGATTTGCTCTAACACGACGAGAATGGGAAGAAAATGATTTTAACAAATGAAGAATTACTTGCAGATTTGCAAATAGGCGCGAGAGAAGGTGATGGAGTAAGGTCACTCTTAGCTTTCTATCCTCCAGAAGCTTCTAACTCAAATGGTATTAGTTAGACATTGTGATGGATCGATTCATTTGAGCTTTATAAAATTGTTGTGTTTATGAACTTGATCATCTGTTGTTTCAGTCAGCATTGTAATCACAAGCCTTGGTGCTGATTTCACTAAGTTGGAATCTTTCGGAAAAGTTGATGATTTTGCTGAGAATCTGGTTTGGTTTAATCCATCTCTACTTCGAAAAAGAACCTCCGTTCCTTCACATTTTAATGCTTAATTTGGCGTTCTTTCTTCGGTCCTCAATGATTTTTAACAGGTCTGAGGATTAGACCGAAGCTGGCAAAGGACTCAGGGAGTGAAACCAAAACTCATAGATAGCAAAGCTTCTAAAGGTATATAACACAATCTAAAACACTCATTAAAACTTGCCTCGCTGCAATGGTTATTTGAGGTTTACTTATAAGTCGAACAGAGTCTGTTGATAAAGCCATGAAATGGAATGCATACTATTGTACCTTTAGAATTGGAAAGTGCTTTTATGAAATGATTTTCGACATGTCAAAAAGAAAAGCTCTCAATGCTAGAGTTTAGAACACGTAAACTTAAAATCTTGAATCCGCCTCTGTCATTTAAGAAACTAAGTGTTTTTTTATCACTGAAGTAGTTGTGACTTTGCTTCAATGTTTAGGAGTTTATACTTGCACATGATCTGAGGACGTTCAATTTTTTGAGCCGTTGATAATTGTCACTCTTATTAATCAGGGTTGTATTACATCGAGTATACTCTGCAAAATCCCGGTGAAAGTCTCAGACATCTATTTTCAGTGCTTGGGATAGCAGACAATGGGATTTACAACAGACTGTATACTCTCACTGGATAGGTCAGCTAAATGAAGCAAGAAGACACGCATTAAACTTACTTAGCTTTCATTTTTCCATTACGAGAGGATGATGAAGAGATCAATAGACTGTAAAATTGATTAAGATTTAATTTATCTCGCAGTTTGTAGACGAGGAGGCAGAGAAATATGGTGCTAAAATACAGAAGGTAACTTTAACATCTTTTTTCTTTTTGTTTTGTGTTTGCTAGTTTTTTGATTGAAGATATGCATCACAAAAATGTCTATAGTATCTCAAAAGAAATTGTCCCTCATGAATTAGGAAGAACTCTCTTTTTCGTAATAAGGAATTGTGAACTTCGATAGGCTTTCTAAAGGGATATGGAAAAAAAAGTATGTGCTTGTACACATGAGAAATGGGGTTGAACGCGAAAGAGGTTGATTTGCCGCTCTCCCCCTGTACGCGAGATATGTATAAGGCCTAATCTGATTCTGATTTTGCAAAAAATAATCTGATTCGTTTGAGCTTACATGAATAAAGTCCAAATTCATGTTTTTTAACCTCATATAATGGCGTCATTTCATTGTGGATTGTTACGTATGATGTTCTGAATGCAGAAAATATTCTCCTCATTTCTTTCCAAGCTTGTGACTGATTTCGAATCCTGGATTCATAATCACTTCCCAAACCAAACATGAATCTTTCTATTCTTATGTCTCTCACGAGACAGTGTCATCAACGACACTCTCAAGCTTTTCATTTAAGAGTTTGAATGTGCTGATATGTTGAACTAAGTTGCATCAAGTTTCATATTAACTCAAAGTTTTCACCAGAAATTTTGTCTACTATTGCAAAATGTTTTGTGGCTTGACGGATATATTTTCACAGTTTTACCAATACGCGTCATTTCCTTTCTAAGGTTGTTTAGTATCACAGATTCTGTTAGATCACAGGAAGGATATCGCTTGTGTGAATAAGTTCTGTATCAATAATATTATGTTGCAATGTCCTATTTTGTGCATGAAATCTTCATTGCTTATTGCTTGTTAAGTAAGTATTTTGTGCAATAACGGTTAAGCAAGTCATTTAATCTGATGTTATATTCAAGTGAATCAATGTCTGAAGTTTCTTGCAATGTGCAGACTGTTTCTTCTTTCAGATTAATATGATAACATAATCGAGACCGCGATATCACAAATCTTGTCTTGAGCTTCTGCTTTTTCTAGTTTGTGAATGGCAAACATCGTCGTTGATATCAGCACAGTGGATCTTCCAAACCTCACAAAGGAACATAATTTAACTTCTGGTTAAGGTATATATTATAACGACTCGAGAAAAACTAGAGTTGTAGGCATGAACCATCAACTTGATCAATGTTTTTTTGGTAAAGACAGCTTGGCCAATGTTTAAGAGTTAGTATTAACACATATTGTTATACCAAAACTGTATGGATTGTTTCTATAAAAATGTGACCTTTGTGCAAATGTCATATGCCCAAATTATGAACTTTTAGTTCGAAAGGCTCGGGATTAACATTATACCCCACATAAGCACCTGAAGTACTAAACGAAATAGGTATTAGTTTAAGCAGTTATTTGAGATTTACAGCTATCTCTCTTTTCCATTTTTTGTTTGAGAACTTCCTAATATGATGTGCTTATATATATCACAATCACTTCTTTTTGAATTGCAATTATCAAAAGTGCATTCCTGTCCTTACTATCTTTTCGAGCTCAGACTGAATCCAGATCCCGCACTGCAGGGCCCATTCTGAAGGTTGAGACTCCCAATAAAATTTTCTTTGTACTAGCTTTTCTCTTTCATTCCTATACATTTTAAATAATCTACTCCCCCTTTATAGAACCAATTCTTTCTCCAGACAGCTCCAAAAAGTAACATTATTCCTTAAATTTCTTCTTTTCCTGCTACCAAATAAGCAATTTTCATCCTCCAAAACTCTACTTGTTTCTCCATTCTCAAGAAGATTTCCTTCACAATCAGCTTCCTAATGTTGAGAAGAAACAGTGGGCTAGGCTTAATTAAGAAAGAATAAGATTTTGGGGGTGGATGGAGAGATGGGATGGGAGTTGAAACCCCCCGACAAATTGAACAATCAAACCACATGCAAGGAGCTTGTAAGGAGAAATACTCCATGCTAGCTACTTACAGAAGCTATACAAGTCTTCAACAATGAAGGTGGTGTAACTGATAATTTAGTAAACATCTTCTACCATGTTCAGCTTCAGGTCTCTTATATACCAAAAGCCTGTTTAGCTAAGCTTTCAAAACCTGCATATTTTGGTTAGTGTGCAAACTCAAAATGGTGTTTCTGAAAGAGTACTTAAATAAAGTATGTGTCTGCCAATAATTTCGAGATTATAATAAAATTGTCAAATGCTAAAAAGAGAGATGTGTTTCAGTATCAAGATAACAGACTACACCAAGCTATGTTCATCACAAATCCATCTGTCTTTGAAAAGCAATCTAAGTGTCTACTGGGGCGGCTGAAGCCGAAATACCTCCTTTGCTATATCTGGGCCATTCAAAGTTTTTGACCCACAGTATCATCAACAACAACTAAATAACTATGGCCAAGCATTCACAATGTTGGCTTACTACCAATACTTCTGCATTGTCAATTCAGAGATTTTGCTGCACAAAGGGCACATGAACATAAAGACATCCATGAAGGGTGACATCAGCATTGGTCCGAAGTTGATCAATTCTAGTAGGTAAGGTGACCACGTGGAAAAAAAATTATGTCAGCCAACTTACAAATGGAGAGCCTTTTGATTGTCGTAGACTTCTTAGAGTGTTGTGATCAACAACTAGAAACGTAACAACGATATAGTTTTCACATCCACTTATCAAGATTTCTGCATGACAGTTTCTCTTTACCAGAAAAAATTACCAATCCAAAAAGATGCAAGTAGGGCAAAATTGAAGTACTCTATCAAAGTCAAAATCAGTAAAATAAATAGCAAGGTGTGTACCTTCTTGAAGGCAGTAACACCCCAAAGATTGTCAAGTTGATTTGGCTGACCAGTAATGACCAGGCAACCAGCTAGATCAGATTGAACCCGTACCTATGTTTACCAAGAAATAAGGGCATTAGAGCTTTGAGATGTTGTAAAAAGACGAAAACAAATTGAATGCACTTGATGGAAACAAGTAGCACGGTTAGTATTATACCTCATCTCGTAAAAGCCCAGGCACCAGTGCATAGACCTCAAAGGAATCATTATGTTTGCATAAAATCATTACAAATCACATGAGAGAAATGGAATGCATAATCTAAAGGTTCTTAATTCCTTTACTTCTGATAGGAACTTACTGTTTAACGAACATTGATTTTCACCTAATCAGCAGGGGGTCCAACATCAACAACTTGGACATCCAACCTGTCAGATGGATATTAATTTATCTTTACATCAGAAACGGACGAACCAAAAACAGAGAGAGATAGAGAAATACTATTGAAGTTCCTGGTATTCTTTTTCTTTTTGGTGATAAAAACTGCTGGTGTACAAGATAAAAATATTAGAAGAAAGGATCAAGATAAAGTATGGCTTACAACTTAGATGTTTCAGTTTCTGCAACTTTCATTGGGCGATCCACTTCATTTTTCCTCTGGTGCTTAAGAGAACCTGAATAAAACAAGAAGTTTTGCTGCGGTCACTATTCCTTTTTGATAGAGTATGAGTTAAAGGAAAAACTAAAGTTCTCAGATGATGATCCTGATATAGTTACAGTGTTTACTAACAGACACGAAAGGCCAAAGTTTTGGAGAGTGCCAGACTTCATATAGGGAAATGGTGAGAAGAAAATAGCTCAATGATAGAGATATATGAAGAAGTCAAGTTGGCAAAGAATTGACGAACAATCTTACCACTAATTTTTAGGCTCTTCGCACGCTTTGGCGCATTGTAGGCATTCCTGTCCTGTAAAAGATGAAAAACACCAAAATTACTTGTACATGGCAATAGAAAGGATCAAACTTAAGAAAATCAATTTTGAGAACTTGAACGAAGTTAAAATACATCGATGATTAAATTACTTAGGGTAATAGGCTTCCCCATATAGCAATTAAAAGGTGTACATCACATATAGTCAAAATACAACAGATGAGAAGATACATCACATAACAACAAAGTAAACACATTGTTACCTCATTGTCAACACCCCAAGAAATAGGAGGAGCAACAATAGGAAGTTGAAGCTCTCCATTTTGTGTCCTATGCCTTTCATATGGTAGAAGTAACTAACATAGAGAAATCATGAGATAATAGAATGTACATAAACAAAAAGTAAGAGGTAGATAACTTTTTAGAACAAATTCTATTCAAAATCACCATATAAGTATAGATGCTTGGAGATGAAGTAATTTATTAAACTTAAAAATCTAAGTTTGGCATTTGAAATTGTGGAATACTAAGGAGAAAGCCAATAAGATAAAATCAGCCAAAATGTCCATCTGCCATCTCACAGTCATATAACCAATTGCAACATCAAAGATGTAATGAAACCTACTTTAAACAAGAATATAAGAAGAACCACGAAAATGAAAAGAAGCAAACACAAACTATTCAAGTAACTTTACAGGCCACAAAAGACGGGTTGTTAGTAAAAGTTTTCTAAGTTAATACCTCACAAAGCACCCACCAATTTTTTTGATAAGGTTAAATAATTTGTTAATGATTGAGGAAAATCCCGTATACAAGTCGTATACCAAGAAATAGAGAACCTATACAAATATATGGTCCTCTACAAAAGACATTCAATCATCTATACAAGCAGGGACCTCATAGGTGCACCAAAAAAGAAACTAGAGATAAAAAAGCTAATCCTTACATTTACAAAATCAAATTCTATCCCTTCAAACACTCTTTCCCTCTCCTTCCATACAGCCCACATAAAAGATAACATCGCAAACAACCTACCCACTAATAAGGCGACATAATTCAGGGTCCCAAAAACTCACCTTATACCAAATATTAGCAGCATGGTGGATAGTAGTCAAGATATGCTAATAACTATCAAGGGAAGAGAACTACAGTTATTACCTTCTCATAGAAGCTGCAGAATGGACAAGAAACAGTAGTGCAAGTCCTGAGAAAGAAGATTATCAGAGCCCAAAAAAAAGCATTTAGAGAAAGTCGTATAATAGTAGATAGAAGGCATTGGTAATGTCTTATATATTTAGTTGATT